TTTTGGATTCCTTTGTAAGACTAATAGTTGTTTTAGCAGGTCACATTGGGCAGTACTTAGTATGCTTGGTGAGTTTCTATTAGAATAGAGCATTACACTATGTTAGTGGTTACTTTATATAATAATTGTATAGTAAGTTCATAAAATAAATAAAAGCAGAATCGCTTAAATTCAAAAAAAAAAAAAAATTTCAAATTATTATATATTTTTGTATTATATATATTTTTTGGATTAATTTAGTTTATTTTAAATATTTTAAAATTAATTGAAATACTGTATAATAAATTAAAGGAAAAATCTATTTGTAACAGCTATTACACTGCTTATTTGTAACAGCCTATTAGCGTTAGAGTTAGAGTTAGGGTTAGTAGAGTTAGTATTAAAGTTAGTGTTAATGTTAGTGTTAGATTAGGTTTAAAGTTAGTATCAAGATTAATACAAAATTGCAAGAGGATCATTTTTTATTAGTAGCACAAAAAAGATTATCTTAGTAAAATTTTGAGTTATAAACCAAACTGTTACAAATAAACAGCATAACAGGCTGTTACAAATAGATTTATCCTAAATTAAAAATACTCAAATTCTTTTAAGTTTTATATTTTTTCAAATAACTATTATCTTTTATTTTATAAAAAGTTCAAACCTTTCAAATTAGTTTGAAATTAGTTTTGTAATATTTCATAATATTTTTTGTAATTGAAAATTGTAAAATATTCTATGTCAATTATAATTATTTCACAATATGTTAGGGTTAGATAAAATTGCGAGAGGATCATTTTTGTTAGTCACATGACAGGGTTACCCTAGTAAAATTTTGAGAAATGGCTAGGGATGCACTGTAGTGCAGGTGTATTTATTTTTAAAACCCTAAAAAATATTTTTCGGGACGTAATAACTTTGTAAGTTTTTGTTTATATATTTTGCTGATGTATCTACAACAAATTGAAGCTCGCAATACTTGTTATTCCTCACCTTTTGCAATAACAGTTGTACAAGCTATTTACCCATATTTATCTTGCAATATTTGCTTTCTAGCTGTAAGCCTCCATCACTTTTATCATTATTTCTGAAACCAATATTGAGACACTTATTTTGCAACTAGATATACCCAAAAGATTGCTAATGCCTATTTTATATTAACTACTGCTTGAGACTACAATATTGCTAGAGCAGCTGCCTGATATATTGTTTTTAGTTGCCGATATAGTAACTCTTATCTAAACCCCAAGAACATTATTAATACCCTTCTCCATACTTATACCACTTTATACCCTCATATCAACTTTACCCCTTGACTTCGAAAAAAATTTATTTGATCTACAGTATATATTAAACGTTCTGCTCCTGCAACACCTTTTCGAATTACCTAAGCTATCACCGATACTCTTGAAAATCTTTCTTCTTTCTCTAACCAAGATGAACTTGAATTTGTTAATCCCGCCTCACAATCTATATATACTCTTGGACCCGAAGATTTAAAAAATTCTCCTACTACTTCTCTTTCTCTAGCTCTTTACAACGAGGATACTACTCAAGTTACACTCTCTCCTTGACTTGCTTTACCTACTTCTTCTCTTACTGAAATCCCCCTAGATAATCTTTTACCCTAACGTCAACCTAGTCCAACCCCTTCTACTTCTCAACAACCTGGTAGAATTTGCTATTTGCTAACTTATTCAATACCTTAATCCTAATAATTGTATCTCTTTTCAAACACCTGTTGTTACTACAACTTACCCCAAAACTAACATAGTTATAGATAAAAATACCACTACTCCGCTAAATACTCCTCCTCTATATTTACAACAACCTCCTACTAACCTTTCTCCTTTACCAGAACCATGTTCTTAAGTATGTTTTATTCTAAATATTTTTATTTAAAAATTAAATAGGTAATTGAATATAATAAACTTTTAAATAAAATCTAGTCAAAATATTTAAAAAATATCTCAAAAATGTCTAATAACAATATGTTTCAAAATACTATTCAAGGTTGCTTGAATAAACTATATAGTAGGCTTTGAAAGTTACCTGTATTATTTGCAGAATATTGAGTAACGAATCGGATAAATCATATAATTTTACAAAAAACTAGTTTTCGAAGATCCTGTTAATCTGGACTTTTGGAATCGAGGTCCGAATTTCTGAATAATCAATTCAAAATACCGAAAATTTTATTTATAAAACCATTCTTCCTGAAAACTTTGGTATAAAGTATGGTATAATCTAACCTTTTATTTTTGCAAATCATCAATTGCAGTATAATTTTGGCTAAAAGGTCATATATTCATCACGCGAGATGCTGCTTCACCGTATTTATGTATGATGTACAGTGCATGTAACATAAGTTACATGCACTTTATTGTTTGCTTTTCCACAATTGGAAGTGAACTGCTGTACAAGAAAAATATAAAATAAGAGTAGTTCGAATTTTCATCATTAATATAATGGAATAATCTCTTTTTTTTTTTTTTTTTGGATAATCTTACATTAATAATATTTGTTAACATGGCACAAAACGAAAAGTTTCTTTATCGGCAGGGCGATAGAATACTTTGTTTTCACGGGCCTATGATATATGAGGCCAAGGTAAGTTTAAGTTAAAGCGCCGCTGAACTAAAAATTTCACATTATATAAATGTGATCATGTAAATCTTTCATCGTAATTTATTGCCAGATTTTAGACAAAGATTATCAACATCCAAAATCGGGAGATTCAGGACCACATTATTTAATACACTATAAAGGATGGAAAAATACGTAAGCAGTTACAGATTTTTCATTCATCCGAAATATGTAAATATTTGAAATTTATTCATTAAATTTAATGAAATTTAAAAGTTGGGATGAGTGGGTAGCTGAGGATAGAGTATTACCAATCAACGAAGCCAATTTAAGTAGACAAAAACAAATTGAAGAATCTATGACAAAGAAGAATAAGCCATCAGCAAAGAAAATTGTGCAAGATTCTTCAGCGGAAAAGGGAAAAAAGCGGAAAAGAGATATTTCCTTAGATAAAGTAATGAATTCAGTTATTTTTATATTTATTGACAACCTTTATTATACATTTATTATTATTAAATTATCATTATTACTAATCAAGATACAAAAAAATTATGTATTATGGAACTTTCACTAATAGGATGAACTCATTAAGAAGCCTAAGATTATGATTTATATACCTGAACAACTTAGGATACTTTTAGTACAGGATTGGGAAAACATAAACAAGTCACAAATGGTACAGATTTTTTATATTTGAATTAAGAAATCATATAATAAATTTTTTTAATTAACCAACTTTTTGCATAAGTGGGTACCGTTGCCACGTAAACCTTCAGTGGCTGATATAATAAACAATTATAAATCTTGGAAAATTGAAAAAAGTAAAGACAGTGATGGTACTGAAGATGAAGTTAATAAGGGCGTATGTTTTTATTTTAACAAATGCTTGGGAACTCGGCTTTTGTATCAATCTGAAAGAAATCAATACAAAGAAATTCGATCTAAATTTGAAAATTTGGAAAATGCCCAAATTTATGGAGCTGAACATTTATTAAGATTATTTGGTAAATGATTACAAGCGTTAGTATAATTTATTGTATTTAAAGCTTATGGTATCAACTTTCCCTTTAGTTATTCTCCCAAAATTAATATCAAATACGAATATTGGCGAGGATACATTGAATGTTTTGAAAGAACAATTAGCTGATTTATTAAAGTATCTTGATTTCCTTTTTTTTTGATTTTGTTAATCCTTTAACTGTTAATAACATGTTAATAACTATATTATTATTATTATTATTACAGTCATATTAATGAATGTCAGAAAGACTATTTTGTTGACGAATATCAAAAAAATCAATAACAGATAATAATCATTTTTGATATTATATAAAAAATGAATTGGTTGGCAAATTTAATTCTAAAAATGTATTAATCATCTACGTGTATGTGTACAATTACAGTGTATAACTTTTTTTAGAATTTAGATTTCGTTTTTTATTTATGTGTCATTTTGGCTATATTAGATTGTTAATTAATATATCACAAGTAGAAAATTAAATTTCTATATATGCTCAAAGATCTTTTTCAACCATAATAATTTCATGCAAAGTATATGATAACAAGTAGAACGGGAAAAACCTGAATTTGTATGCAAAAAAACTCATGATCAAATTTAAGCAAATATATCAATCTGAGGATTAGTGTCTAATAAAGAAGTTTGTTTTTATTCGAACGAATAATATGACAAAAAGGTGATGTCTAGTACAGTAGTAATGGCATGCACATCTAGTGTTGTCGGTAGAATTAATTTGGCAAATTAATACGGTTACGGCATCATCTAATTTTCTTTGAATGTTCAGGAAGTTGAATTAGAAAAAGAATCGGTTTATTCAGATTTTGATCTTATAATTTCAGAAACATATTGATACAGTATCTTTAATTTTTGTTTTGAAAGAAAAAAAAAATTATTTTCTTAGCTTTCAAGGCTTTGAACTAAATCAAAATGGAATATGAAGAATGACGCCTGGAATTTTATTAATAAGAAGTCCAAGTTCTCCCTTGGCGACGCTCATTTTTCAAGTCTGATGTTTTCAAATACTGTAATAATTAAAATAATACTGTATAAAATTTACATTGCTACTACTGTACTAGGCAAAGTTCTATCTAGGGATTGGAATCGGTTTAGTCGACTACTATGTTTAGTCGACTAATTAGTCGACTAAACATAGTAGCTTATTATAAAAATTTTTTAGTCGACTAACTATCATTCTACTAACTTGCTACAAGATCTTTCATACTTTTCCAAAGCCACCAATTAAGACTTTTTTTTTTATCCTCAATATTATGTACAGTAATATTTAATTATTTTCTACTTTGATAAAATTTTTTGCGACTATTTAATTGATCATATACAGTTCAACCAAAAAAATTAGAACTTATCTAAATATTGCACCATGGCTATTACAATTATAAATTTATAAATCAGTATAACAATGACAATGGATTCACAAGGATCATCTACCAGACGACCTTCTCAAACACCTCAATTACCTTCCTATCCATCAAATAATATTGCAGTTCTATATCTCAAACCATATCAACAACCCATCATTTTATATTCCAAAATTTTCCGATCTTTTAAACGTTTACCACGCGTATTCAGAATGGTATCACAGTCATAATGGAAGTCCTCCAATAATTTAATTAATTGAATCATATGTTGTGAATGGGAATATCAAAATTTAGAAAGACTTGAACAAAGAAAATGAAATTAAATCTCGTGAAACACAGATGGATGGTAATATTCAAGAAGTTTTAAACCAATTGGAAAATTTAAGAGATGGAATGTCTATGGAGAATTTTGTAGAACTGATATTACTGGGTGTAATAGAAGTGTTATGTTGAGAAATACCTCTTTTATTTCATTAAAAAACGTGTTAGTAATTACTGTATATTTGATGTCGTATGAAAATTTTTGAAATTCCATATGCGTTTCTTTAATCAAATTCATAAAGATCTTGCTGATTGAATTGATTAATTAATAATAATAAAGCCATGCGAAATTAATTACAGCTGTTTTCAAAAAGGTGTAGCCAGGTGCGCACCATTATATCATGAGAAATCTGCACGATTTCCCTGATTTCCCTTTGATTCCCTTTGATTTCCCTTATTCGAAATCGGAAAATCGTGCGATCTCCCACAATAATGGTGTAGGTCTGGTTATACCTTTTTTAAAACAGCTATAATTGGTTTTCATAACCCGGTCGGGTCAAAATTTGAAAACTTTTACAGCTGTTTTCATAATTTCTGAAACGCCTAAATTCACTGAATGATTTGTCGGTCGAGCCGATCAAATTAGTGATCGGTATATAAAAGTCTTGAATGCATGTTTTACAGATCGTTAGACATACTCAATATTATTGAATTTTCGCCCGAATGTATACCCTGGTGTGTTTAGTTTGTATGAAAATTTAAAGAGACTTCTATACAGTAATAAACATATTACCGTATAAGCGCGACCATCTACACGTTAATTAATTGACCTGCGCATTATTTCGAATATACTCATGTGCGTTATTTCGAAATAAGGTTGAATAAGCATCTCTTAATTATAATAAGAGTACTTTTTTATAATAAGAATTAAAAGGCTCCGAAACTATGATTTGTACTAAGTAAAGCTACAGTATTTTGAGCTTTAACCCTTTTGTAAAGCTCGAATGTAGGTTTATTTAATGCCAAACCTAGTTCTGGAATGATTTATGGGGGATGCACGCACGTTAATCCGGAACGCATGGGCGCTAATTTGAACCTACCATTGGCCACTGTATACAGTAACCAGGGTCTTATTCAAGAACTCCATTTTTAAAATTGAATAGTACCCGTAAATACTGTGAAGAACCGCTATATTTGGGGAAATATTATTAAAAGTAGTAAATCAATATATTTAGGGAACTGCTATTCGCACCATGGATTTTTGCTATTTGCACCATGGTTTCTGCAGATCATTTCGATTTTATCACAAAATTATTTCAAATATTTTATACTTTGATCGAAGTTATCTCGGCAACCAATCAATCAAATTTAATGAAAATTTTTTTATTTGAATTCTGTAGTTCTGTAGAATTTGAATAAAAAAATTTTTATCGAATTTGATCAATTGGGTACTGAGATATCTTCGATCAAAGTTTGAGTAAAGTTTAAAAACATATGTCATATAAAAGCTGTGCCGAAATTGTTTACAAAGCTTTGATCGAAGATATCTCGGCAACCAATCGATCAAATTTGATGAAAATTTTTTTATT